GCCCTTTTCTAGCTCAAAGCCATTCCCCCTCGTCCCATCACTCCAAACCCTTGGGAATAGTCCCTCCCCTGCTTTCCTGTAGCCCCTCTCAAACTGGTCAATGATGAAGATGTTAAACACCACCAGTCCCAGTACAGACCCTTGAGGGACACCACTGGTCACTTCTGCCCAGCTAGACGTCGAGCCATCGACCACCAATCTCTGGGTGTGACCATCCAGCCAGTTTCTTACCCACTCAACAGTCCCCATATCTCTCCAGCTTAGAGAGGAGGATGCTGTGGGGGACAGTGTCAAAGGCCTTGGCAAAGTCAAGGTAGATAAAGTTGGTAGGAGAGAGTTGTAGAACCCCAGGATGGTTTGGGCTGGGAGGGACCTCAAAAGGTCACCTAGCCCAACCCCCCTCTAAGCAGGGACATCCCAACTAGAATGGGTTGTTCAGAGCCCCATCAAGCCTGACCTTGAACGTCTCCAGGGTTGGGGCCTCCACCACCTCTCTGGGCAGCTGGTCACAGCCCAATTTCAGACACCACAATTTCCTCTGCTTGCAGAATCAGGTGGTCAAAAGAACCAACAACCTAAAAAGCTTCTCTGCTCGTACCTCAGAATTTTTTGTATGGCTTTGCAGTTTTTTAAAGGCACATTTCAATTAATTTCATTTTAAGACCTATGCAAGCAACACCTGGAAGTTACCACGTCACGTTTGGAGCTCCCCATGAAGAATAAAACATGTTAAATTTGTTAATTGGAAGGTTATTTTGTTCAAATATTGATTTCTTGAAGGGCCTGGTGTTTAAATCCAGCTTCTGGCACGCAGCAAGAGGCCAAATTCAGCCTGCAGCCTCATTTCCTGCACAGTCTATTCTCCCTGTTACTGTCTGAGGCACTTCCTTGTCTAATAATACCCTAAATAACTCAAAATCATTCATTTATGTGCACTTGATAAATTGATATCATTCCTTTAGAAATTAAAGGAGCCCCAGCAAGGCTCTTGCTCTACTTTGTTGTCTTCACAGGTCTTACAGGTGACTGTTAGTCCAAAATTTTGGCCTGGTTCTGAGGCACTCAGGGTTTTCAGCCTCCTCAGGGCCAACCTCAACCTCCCCTGGGGCAACTTGAGGCTGTGTCCTCTTGTCCTGTCCCTTGGGAGCAGAGCCCGACCCCCCCCTGGCTCCAGGCTCCTGTCAGGAGCTGTGCAGAGCCAGAAGGTCTCCCCTGAGCCTCCACAGCTCCAGGCTGAAACAAAAGACAGTCACAAGAAGAAGCCTGGACCTCAGTGAGTCTCCAAGGAAGGGATATATCCCAGTTAGGACTTTGGGGAAGATGCTAAATCCTCAACATCAACCCCAAATTGCTGAAATGGGTTTGGTTTGACTCTTTTACAAAGAGGCTGAAGGAGGAATTAGAGCTTTGAGTTCTTCCAGAGCTTGGGGACATCTGAAATGCTTCATGTTGGGTTGCAAGTCAGCAGCAGAATGTCTTCCCAGGAGGAGGTGACGAGGGATTTGCCACGTTCATGAAGTCTCAGGGGCTCTACCAGCTCCTCCTGCCTGGGTTGTCAAAGCCTTTGTCCCTGCTTTATGTATTTACAGCTCAAAAACCTAAAAACCATTGTAGGAAACAACCAAATTTTTCCATAAATAAAATCTTGGTTTATTACTATTCACATTCCACAAGCACGTTGAAGAGACTCGAGCTGGATTTTGGTTTGAAAGACACAACAGCAGCATTTTAAACCACCACAACCACCCAGAAACAATCCTCCTGCATCGTTCCCCTGCTGCTCCTCTTCAGGAAAGAAAGGCACAATGCTTGAGGGAAAATAATCCATGGATCAAATCAAGCCTGGCTGCTTTTAGGATATCTTGAATACAGCAGAACTCCTTTAGCTCACCCCCAGATTGCACAGGAAAACCAAATTCTTCAGAATTTAGCCACGATCCTTACACTGTCACACTCATAGTTCTTGAGTTTTTTCAAGTCCTTGAGTTTTCAGGTATCATTTTTAAGCTGCAAACCTGGAGGAACCCACCAGAAATCAGTAAAGCAAAAGGGAACACTGACCTTCCAAGGTTAGATTTATTTCAGCTAAACTCTAAGCATAACAAATAATTTAGAGACAAAAGTAACCCAGGCAAAGGAATGACAGTGACTTTTTTTCCAAACATTTTAACTTCAGAAACAGGCCAGCTGCTCTTTTTAAGAGCAAAACCAGACTCTCTCCTGTAAATGATTCAGGGTTTTCTTCAGCTAAAATGTGCAAAGGAAAAAAAAAAACAAACAAACCCAAAAGTCTTCCAAAGTGAGCAAAATATCACCAGTTTGTATTGGCCACCAGGGAATAAAATCCTTCTGAGAGGATTCCTTCAAGCTGTCTTCTTCTCCTCAAGGTCTGTGGGTCTCTCTGTGGTGATTCCATTTGCTACCCCGTTGCTTTCAAACTGCAAAAAATGAGTGAGTGTCAAAAAAAAAAACAAGAAAAAGGGACTTCACACCCAGAAAAGTGATAATCAGGGAGGAAAATGGCTTCTAGAAGCAAGGCTATGAAGAAATCTGTATATATACACCTAAATTTACCCTTTTCTAGCTTAAAGCCATCTAGCTTCAAGCCATTTTTTAGCTTAAAGCCATTTTCTAGCTTCAAGTCATTTTCTACCTTCAAGCCATAAACAGCCAGATATTAAAAACAGGGATAAAAATAAGAATAATAAATTAAGCTGTTTCAAAATCAGGTGCAATCCCCACCCTTCCAAGTCCAGAAGTTGCCCTAAAGCAACTATCCCCAGCAGGCTCAGCACTGCCAACTCCCTTTCCTGAGAACAGCCCCAAAACCACCTCAACCCCCCCCCCCCCACATCCCAACTCTTGATTTTTCTTTGGTGATGCCCACCCCAAGCTATTTCTTGGGTGTTTGATGAGGATTTTATTTCCCTAGCAGAATTAACCTTACTTTATAAATCCCAAATTCATCCTCTTGGTATCTTCTGGTGGCTGAAGCTGCTGGAGGAGTCGCAGTGCTGCCTCCTCGAGCAGGGCTGGTGGGGGTTGTTTCTTCCAGGGCTTTCTTGGCCCACACACGTTTCACCAAAGGGGCAATGACAGGGTAGATGTAAGGCTCCAGGAACTTCTTGTAGACCCAGAGGAGAACTGGAATGACTATACATGGAATGCACACCATGGCTTCCCCCTGTGCTGTGAAGAAAGATGGTGAGGGGGGGAAAAAAAACCCCAACAGCTCAGGGTGACAACCACCAGCTAAGAAAACAGCTTTAAAGCAGGAAAAGAGATGGATGAGGTCCAGGCATAAAAGGTTCTTTAATTATCATTTAACTCTTAAAGTTTCAAAAACCACACTCTGATGTGCTAAACTTCTCAACAAGGGGTTTCTTCATATTTTAATTAACAAATAAATAGTTTGAAGGCATTGCTCCTCAGGGCCAACCTCAACCTCCCCTGGGGCAACTTGAGGCTGTTCCCTCTTGTCCTGTCCCTTGTCCCTTGGGAGCAGAGCCCGACCCCCCCCTGGCTCCAGGCTCCTGTCAGGAGCTGTGCAGAGCCAGAAGGTCTCCCCTGAGCCTCCTTTGCTCCAGGCTCAGCACCCCCAGCTCCCTCAGCTGCTCCTCCCCACACTTGGCCTCTAGACCCTTCCCCAGCTTCATTGCCCTTCTCTGACCTCCCCCAACCCTTCAAAGTCTTCAAAACCAGCAGCAAACCCCAGCACCAGGGCAGAAAGGCCTGAGCTGGCAAGGGAGCATTTACTTCCTGAGCCTTCCAGTGCTGCCAAGCAGGATTTTCACCCTGCTCCACTCCACAGCTCAGCTTTGTCCTTCACGTTCCTCCTCTCTGTGCTGCTGACACTAGAATTCTTAAATTAAGAAGCAAACCCAAAGCTTGCCAGGCTGGAGAACAAGGAGGCAGATGTGGATGCTTGTTCTGGCATCAGAGTTTCACTTGATTTTTTTCTTTAAGCTAGCAAAAGATTTTCAGCCTCCAGCTCTGCAGAATAACCCAATCCCAATTTCCAGTCGACTCCTTCAAATGCAGTTTTGGCTACTGCAAATGTCTTGGCTACTTCAAAGGTACTTTTTGCAAAATCTGCTTTCTGAAGGCAGAGAGGAATCTTAAATATCATCTATAATATAGAATCAGAGAATTGTTTGGGTTGGAAGAGACCTTTAAGATCATCAAGTCCAAGGGTTAACCCAGCACCACCAGGTCAGGATATCTCATGACATCTTAAATCACTGATTTGTAAGTGTTATAAATTTTATATACTATTTGAGATACCACTCTCAGGGGATATCTAACCAATTAAAGCCACTCAAAAAGCCAATTCAGATCCAATCCCCACCAAAGAGATTCAATCTTCAGCCAGGTGTTGCAGATTCATCCCTTCCTTAAAGTGGCTGGAGAGAAGTCCCAGGGGTTGACTTGCAGAGGTCTCTGCAGCCAGATCAATTTTTGGGATCAAAAAATACATCCTAGCTCTGCCAGATCCCCCCAAAAAACATCAGTGGGCGTGTAGCACCAACCTTAACGCATTGAAATCTCTCTGGGGGGGTTTCTTCTGTGACTCAGCCACTGGTTTGTAGGAAAACAATGACTAAAAGGGCAACCAACCGGTCCAGTTTTAAGCGTGAGCTTATTTCTCTGTGAGCCGAGCTTTTGTTTCTCTCCCTAAGCCACCACAGATGAGGTCAGCAGAGAGAAAAGGGCACATTTGGGTTTGGTCAACCCTGTTTAACTCGGCTAACACGGGAACGGGGTAAAAGAAGGTTATGTGGACATAAAGGGCTGGGTTGTGCTTATTTATAAAAGATGATGAAGTCTTAAAAGGCTGATTTTTGGCGTTTCTCTGCAGGAGCCCGGTTGGTGGTAGAGGAGCAGCGTCTGTGACATTCCCCCCCACACACACACTCCCGGTGGCGTTGAAACCAAGGCCGGAGCTCCCAAACGTACCGAAAAGGTTCAATTCCCCTCAAAACAGGCGTTAGAGGCGAGCCCAGAGCTCCGTCCGGCGGCTCTGCCCCC